ATATTGGAAAATATTGTATCATAAATTGGTACTAAATAAGTTTACGCAACTAACACTGAATTAACTCTGTTCACTATGAATAAACTCGGGAAGCTCTACACAAAGCAGTAATGTGCCTAAGCTTAAAGATGTGGTAATACAACCTGCAGCATGATACTCCCAAGTTAAAAGAAGCCAGAAATAAGGCGTCAGTTTTACAGAGCACATAACGGCGTAAACAAGAAATTACACGAAAAGACGAAATAAGCTGAAAATCTTCCGTCGCGAAAGAAACGAATTCAGAAACGAAGATTTACCTCAAATATTTTGAGAAGTGGGCTATTTTCTAGCCAATTTTATGTGTATTCGGATGTGACATATTAAGCTTTCCCTCAACTGTTAAAAGTCAGGGGTTTATATTCGACCATTGTACAGTAAAGAGGGTTGAAGAGGGACCAAGTGCGCGAGCAGGAAAGAGTTGCTGACGAACAAGCGTTCTGCCAAGAATGAATCACGGTTGGCTGCCATTCGTTTCGTCCGCAAAAGGTTGGGACGACAGGGTGGCCGTTACCGCTTTCATCGAAACGCGAATATACCGTTCATATACATCAGTTTGCTTACCCTTTTCAATGAGAACTACAAAAGTGGAAGAAGAATATGATGATGAAGAAAAAACAGACTACGGGAACGACAAGGACGATCATGAGGAGGATAAGATATATACAGAGCAGCCATGAATGCTTCACGAAAAGGTAAAAGGTTACGTTAATCAGCTAATTTTAGCTTAAAATAAAGAATCAAACTCTGCAATTGCCGGTCCCAAGCCCAAATGAGAATAGAAGAGGGTTAAGGAAAGTGGCGAAGTTTCCTATAAAACTTAGCCACCTGCACCTCATGGTATTGTCGTCATCGAGTTCCATACGGGCTCGGTGGTCGCCCAGGTTACCGAGGTCCGCGTACCGGCTGTTGGGGAACTGAGGCAAGCTGCAAAATCTCAGAGATCAGAAACTGTTTCTCGCTTTCTGGCATCCTGAAGCGTAGCAGCAACACAGCGGCTTCCGAATATCGACAAAAGATCACAAAGGTACCAGTCGGCAACGGAGCACCACCAACTTTGAACAGAGGTGACAGAAAGCTCGAAGCCACGACATCACATCAGATAAAGCTCCAAAGGATACAGACAGCGGGAGTATGCAGTCAGCAACTGGAACATCTCCTCACTCAAACGGAAAGAGCAGGAACAAGCTGATAAAGCCGCAAGGTACTAACTCGACATCGAATATCGTCTACGAAGCGTCAGAGCTCGGCAGTTCTGAACCTCTGCGGGTGGAAGCTATTCTATTCAGTGGTAGACATCACGACACGCATTCTGCCGGTGTTGGTGTTCTGAGAGCACCCATCGTGGCTGTCAAAATCATGAAATGAAAGCCTGTCAACGGACGAGTGACAGACACTTGATTGAAGTTATAAGAGGCAGAAGCTTTAACCTAGTTACAGGTCTATGCGCCTAATTTAGACGGAGAATGCGACCGCTTCGTTGAGGAAGTGGAGTGTGCTCTATTCAAAGTGCCAAATACCATGTCCCTCATTCTAATGGGCAATTTCAATGCGCGTGTCAGAGCAGAAGAAGTGGAAAGGCGGAAAGGAACTGAAGAGTGGAAAGGCGCAATTGCAAAGAACGACTCTAGCAACTTCAAGAACGTCGGCAAGAGGTTGTTTCGCAATTTTGTACAAACAACGGACTGTCTATTATGAACGCTTTCTTTAAGAGCGTCGAAGCGTGCATTAGAATATTTGGTACAGGAAAGCTTGTGCACAGAAGTCGATCATCGATTTGATAATAATATCATCTGACCTATGACGCGCTGTACTGAATATTTGCGTTAAGAGAACGCAGAACTGTCAACCAGTCATCACTTTTTTGTCGCACTTGTCGATGTAAATGACGAAGAACCTGCGGAAGAAGCAGCCAGACAATCAACCGGAAAACATTAACTTCTGCAAATACTATCGCAGAACTGGCAAGTAACATGGCATGGTGGTTTCAACAGATATCAGTAGTGATCGGTGATGCGCAAATCGAACGGAAGAACTTCAAGATCGATTTCCTCGGAAGTGCTGTCGAATGCTGTGGTTTAAATGGGTTCGCCTGCCGCCTGGAGGTCACAAACGAAATTCTTCGTGGACATGAGAGGTTCAACTGGCTGTCATCGAGAAGGCGGCATTCATGATGATGACTTCGAAGCAAAGAGCCTTCAACTTATAGACAGCACGAAGAACCGCGTATGGCGGCAGCGAAAGTAGTAGCCAAAGTGAAATCTGACTCCAGGGAAAAGTTCGGCGAAGTACTAAAGTCGAGTTTCCAGGCGGTAAACAAAGTATTCTGGCTGACTAGTCGCCGCCACCGAGAACGAAACAAATGCAGCCCAACATTCTTTGAGGACAGGTATGAAACCCTCTTACCGAGGATTAGAACAATCTTCGGTGATGGAAACAGTACTCTGAGGAACTCCTTAACCTCCAGCAACTGCCAATAGACTCGCTTTAACAGGGACAGAAAACGGACGTTGGCCTTTTAGTACATGAAGTCACAAAGCTGTTAAAAGTGTGAGAAATCGCAAGGGTGCCGGAATCCATTAAATCAGCCAAGAACTGATTAAAGCATAATGAAAACAAGGCATATCGTGGCTTACACGTGTATGTCAACTATCAGTTGCTATGAAAACAATACCAGCAGACTGGAAGACGGAGTTGTAGTACCTCTGCTTAAAGAGAGATCATAGGATACTTGCATTATCAGGGCATTACGCCACTGAGTTTCCCTGGTAAGGTGG